TTTCCAGCCAATGAAGGATATGAAGGATGAACTGTCCTTTCAGAAAACAGGTCCAAAACTCTGAAACATGCATCTTGCTGAGCTGAATCGTAAATGCAAACACTCAGCCCGGCACAGGAGACTGGGGGTCACCACCCGCCTGGGCCCTCCGTGTGCGGACGCAGGCCGTGGGGGCAAGCGGCTGACGACCGTTCAGGACTCGTCTCCCACAAGACTCAAAGGCACAGGTCTGCACAGAGCCCACCCTCTGGGTGAGGGGTGGCTGAGGGGCTCTGGCACGCCTGTGGTCCGCCGGCGCCAAGATCCCCAGCGAATCTGGGGGCGGCGTGAGCGGACACTGTCCTCGTGCAGCTGACGTGCCAGTGCACATGCCAGGAAGAAAACGCACGACCGAAACGCCGCTCACCTCCCCGGACCCCCGGAAACGCCGCTCACCTCCCCAGAGCCCGGGAAACGCCGCTCACCTCCCCGGACCCCCGGAAACGCCGCTCACCTCCCCAGAGCCCGGGAAACGCCGCTCACCTCCCCGGACCCCGGGAAACGCCGCTCACTTCCCCGGACCCCGGGAAACGCCGCTCACCTCCCCGGACCCCGGGAAACGCCGCTCACCTCCCCGGACCCCGGGAAACGCCGGCTCCTCTGAGGCCCGGGCACCGGCGGGTGTCGGGAAACAGGAGAGGCCATTCCCATCCGGTAGCCGAGAACCCGGCCTCTTCGTCGGGGTCAGAGCGGCGGCTCCAGCTGTGGGTTGTAACTACTTTTCACTTTCTGCGGTAGATCCACAATCATGGGAAGCTGTGAAGCTGGGCCGGGGCGGCCGAGAGGTTCATGATCCACGTGGAAAACGGCCCCGCCCGTCCCGCGATGCCGCTGCCGGGGACGCCGGGCCTGCTGGGCCCGGCCTGACCAGGTGTCTTCCCGGCCGCGGCCACTCCGGCTGCTCGGCTCAGCAGCGTGGGAAGCTGTGACCCACGGGGGGAGTTCGGGGGAGGGTGGAGATAATGAACTCATGCTGGAAAGGCCGCCCAGAGCCAGCAGGAGCCATTTGGGAAATAAAACTCACAAATAAATAGGAAAAGCTGCTGCCGGAGCTCGCATTTCCTAGCAAGGAGAATTTCTCAGAGCGTTTCCAAAATGGAAATGCTTACGCAGAGCAGAAGCTTGGAAGCCCCTTTTTGGAATCCCACACCTGACACCCTCTGCAGCTCTCGAGGGAGGGGGCGCTGGAGCCGGAAGGGGGGGGCCACAGGACGTTCTGAGACACACGCAGGGGCGGCAGCCAGACACGGGCCGGACCCGGCACGACCCGACCCCAGGCGCCTCTGACTGCGCCTTCTGCGCAAGCCGGTGCACCTCCGACCCGCGGTCCTCGAGCTCCTGCCTGGCGCTCACTCATCACACGGCGCTGACCGGACACGCACTTCCCACAGCAGACGAAAGACGCACCGTCCTCCAGCAGCCGGCGTCCCGCGCTGCGTCCAAGACCCTGCACCAGCAGCCGGGGCGGGACCAGCCTGCCACAGACGCGGCCACGCCCCAGCTTCTCTGGCCAGCAACCGGCTGGCCACAGTGGGGCCTTCTGCTTTTTAAATTTAAACTTTTAGCAACGACAGAAACCTGGGTCCCTCTAAAGCCAGCGCCGCCCTCTGGTCCCCGTGGCCCGCCCGCCCCAGGCTCTCCCCTGGCTGCAGCCCTCTGGACCCCGTGGCCCGCCCGCCCCAGGCTCTCCCCTGGCTGCAGCCCTCTGGACCCCGTGGCCCGCCCGCCCCAGGCTCTCCCCTGGCTGCAGCCCTCTGGACCCCGTGGCCCGCCCGCCCCAGGCTCTCCCCTGGCTGAAGCCCTCTGGTCCCCATGGCCTGCCCGCCCCAGGCTCTCCGTTTTCCTGCTGCACAGGCCCCGACCTCCTCAGTCCTGAGTGTGCCCTGGGACCTGGGCTGGGGCAGGCTAGTTAGAGGAAATTCACGTGTGCCCTGAATTTTAGAAACGATCTCTCTCACAACCAACCAACCAAAAGCAGAACTTCTCATCGCCATCCCAGCTCCATCCTCCGCTCACAGCCTTTCTTCCTGAGGGGTCAGAAGGTGGGGCCGCGCCAGGCGGGGGTGATTCTCCTCTCTCTGCACAGAGTGAGCCCATCCCTGAGACGTGGGAGCCCAGCCCCTGCTCCCTGGTGGTGGCCCTCACCTGCTCCATGCCCACAGCAGCAAACAGCCCTGTGAGCAAGCGCTTCGGGGGGCCTGCAAGTGCCTGGGGGGGTGGTTCTTGTCTCCCCTCCTTTCGCATCTCAAGAGGCCTGAAAATTCTCTCCAAGGCAGAAGGGGTTGAAGGCCAGACAATCGAAGGGAGACATTTCTCCCTTCTCCTTTTCCTTGAGTGACAGGCTCTCAAGTTCCACGTTTGCGAGACATGCTGTGTCCGCTGCACGCACAGAACCACGGATGCTGTCTTTTATGTGCAATTGAAGATGGTTTTTGTGTATAAACATTTTTCCCTGCCTTGAGCACTGAATTTAGAGCAAGCACTCACGTACACAGAGGAGTGACTACACAGCCTCTCCTTCATGAACATTCCCTGCTGAGCCTCATGACATCGAATCTGCACACATTCCTTAGGAGTTCTTGGCCAAGGTCAATGGACACACCAGAGAAAGTCTACCGGGCCATTGGAGGCAGGGTGTGGGGAGACCATCCGATTCTAGGCCCTCCCCACCCCACCGGCTCTGAGGAAGACGTGGACACCCTTCCACCAGCTCCCCCAGCCAGCAGAGGAATTCCAGGAAGCAGTCAGGGCAGGGAAAAGTGACCAGTCCCTTTTGTTTGGATTCCCCTCTCCTTTCCAAGCTTGGGTGGGTTGGTGTCTGAACTCGGGTGGGTGGCATTGAGTGGGAGTTCCCAGGAATCAGTTTTGTATCCTGGGATGTCAGTCTGGAACAGGCCGTGATGGAAGAGCAGGCCGCCTCCTCCAGGAAGCCTTCTTCCACACCTTGTAACACTGAGAGCCTGTGCCAGCATCGGAGCGGGCAATGTGGTTTTCAAATGGTCTCATGGGCACAGACGTCAGGCCTCTGCTGCTCCACCCTCCCCTTAGGGCCCCACCAGGGAAGACAGCGATTTTGGTGTCTCCTGCTGTTTCCTGGGCAAAGGTTGGCTGACTCTTGCTTTAGACACTGCCAGCCCCACCAGTCACAGAGAGGGCACAGCACGGCCTCATCACAGAGGGGGACGAAACTTGGCCTCGTCAAAAGGTGGAGGGCAGAGAGAGGGGCAGATGGATGGCGGGGGCAGTTCAGAGGCTGACGAGGGAGGAAAGCTGGGGTGAAGGAAAGGAGAAATGATTTTAAAAGAGAGAAAGGAGGAAGGGGGAGGGAAGTGAGGAGGAAGGAGGAAGGGGACAGAGTGTGGGGCGGGGAGGGGGCAGGGGAGACACCCTTTCCGGGAATGCTGCCTTATCTCCCGCCAATGTCAGGAAAGCAGATCATTCTGGGTTTTTCCACCACCCAGAATCCCAGCGCTCCTCACCTTGAAGAAGCGACTCTGGGCGGAGCTGCCCCCGTGGTATTACACAACCTCAGCACGCTGCCAGTGTTTTTATATAATCCTCCGGCTCTCCCCATAAAACAGACCATAACGCCGCGGCGAGCACGCTTCAACAGTGCCGTGTGCTGCTGCCGCACGCCGCCCTCCGGGGATGGATCATGGCTGGCGGCTGCGTGAACTACTTTCCCCCCTAGGGGCTCCCGCTGAATCGGAAAGATCAGATAAGCCACGGAGCTCACCAGAACAGCTCTACGGGAGAGTCAGGGATTCTGTGGGTGCTGAGAAGGCGCCCAGGAAGTCGGGGTGCTCTGAGCCAGACAAAGCTGGAACAACAGCCTGTCCTGGGGATTCACCTCCCCCTACCCCGCACCCCAGGCCTGTCTGCAGCCCACCCTCAAGGGAGGCTGCGGCTCCTTGAAGGAAATGCAAGAGGACCCCCGTGTCTTTGCCCCCACACGCAGCAGGCCAGACAGCCTGCAGATCCGGAGCCCCCGCCTGGCCGTGTAACCCCAGCTCCCAGACACCTCCCACTCCAGCCTGTTAACGGACGCTTTCTGGAGGAGGTTTGCTGGGGCTGCCAATGCAGAAACCTGAATCATCAGCTTGGAATGGAAAGAAACGCCGGCTAGTGATGGAGACACACGCAAACTTTCTTCCTGCTTTCCGGCTCCGCTCACAGAGCAGCCCTGGGGCAGCTGCTCCTCCAGGAAAGCGTAGCCAGCAGAAAAAGTGCCTGCTCTGGGCAGCTGCGGCCACTGGCCCTGCCCTGTGGTGACACTGGTGCTGCCTCTCAAGCTGACCTACGTCCTCATGTGACGAAACAGGCCCACTAGGAGCTGGAGGCTCTCACGGACTCTGGGACTCCCAGGTGCCACCTCCTAGGTCCCCTGAGTCATGAGCCCCGCCAGGCCCCGCTGGGTCGCCAGCGCCATCCCCCACGGGTCTCAGGTCTCAGCCTCCGGCTTCTTCCCCCCACAACAACTTTCTAACGCGGCCTCAGGCACCCCCAGGACAGGGGGTCAACTAGGCCAGGTGTCGAAGCATTTGGGGTGCCTTCAAGCCTCAGGGACAAAGGATACCGCACCAGCAGCCTCCCAAGGGCGGCGTCCCCACCCTCCTTTTTCCCCACCTTCAAGCATTGAGGGGTAGGCGCAGCCCAAACCTGACGCCCCCCACTTCTAGAGCTCCAGGCCAGTCCCTAACCCCGGGCTCGCACCTAGGCACTGCCTGCCCCTAGAGCAGGTCCAAAGATCCCTGCAGAAGTTCTCTTGGGAAGAAAGTTTGGGGTCATCCTGGGGGGGTTTCTCAAGTCTCCACTGGAGGGGCCTCCACAGCCCCTCCCTTTCCTGTCTCTCCCGTGTATGCCCTCCCACAGGGGCGCAGAGGGGCGCCCACACGAGTCCGGCCTGACCCACCACGCCCAGGTGGACTGGCTGCGGCCTCTGTCCCGCCCACGCCGCTCACCGTTGAGCTGGTTGTAGACCACCTCCTCCAGGTGGTCCAGGCGCTGCAGGATGGCCTCGCGCTCCCCCAGCGCGCCCACCTTGGCGTGCCGGCTGCGCACCCGGCGGTCGGCGGCGCCCACGATGCGCACGAGCTCCCGGGGGCGGCCCTGCAGGCGGCAGTACACGGAGAACAGCACGATGCCCACGAACACCAGGATGTTGACCGTCAGCAAAGTTTTGATCTTCCTGGCCACCGCCATGAACGCGGCTGCGGGCGGGGGCGCCTCACCCGCCGGGCATGCCCGGCCTCCCGGCCCGACCTCGCCTCGGGGACCAGGCACCGCCCGGGCTGGGCGCGCGGGGCTGGGCCGGGAGCTGTCCCTTCAGCACCAGCTCGGCGCGCCCGGCCGCGGCCGCCCGGGGTCCCCGCGCGCAGGGGGCTGCCCGGGGCTGGGGGCGCGGGGCGCGGCCGGCATCCCCCGCAGAGGGTCCCGCCCCGGCGGGCGCGGGGGGCGGCGAGGGCGGCGCGAGCGGGCGGCGCTGGGTGGCTGTGCCGGCTCCTGCCCGCCCCGCAGCCACCGCGCCGGTGCGGAGTGACGCGGCCCGCGCTCTGCTCATCTGCATGCGCGCCCCGCCCGCCCCGGCCCCGCCCTCCCCGCGCCCCCCGGGACCGTCCCCCGCGCGCCCGCGCCCCCGGGGACCCCGGCACGGCCGGTTCGGGGGTGCGGAGGGGGGCGCGCGCGGCGGGAGCCTGGGCCAAGGGCGCGCGGGCGCGGAGAGGGGGCGGGGCGGGCGGGCGCGGACCCTCCCCCTCTCCCCAGGACCCTCCCGACGCCCGGGGCTCCCGGCGGCCGCACGGTCCGAGTCGACCTCAAGCTTGACCCGAGGGAAGCGGGGCCTCCGGGGAATGCCCGGCCAGGGGTCAGGGCGGTGTCGGCCACGGGAATGGGGGAGGGGGTGGCCGGGCAGGGCCGCTTTGGTGGTCTCCTGCCCACCCCTCCTAAGCCAAGTCCCCCTCCCCTCTCCAGGGCTCAGGACCGGGGAAGCTGAGTCCCAGGACAGGTCGGGAGGCTTGGGATGCGGCGGGGCCGCCCCAGGAGAGGCGAAGGCCGGTCCCTGAGCCAGGCTCTCGGGCAGGAGGCAAGGCCGCGAACCCTGGCCGACCCCCAGCCCGGGCTCTGAGCTGGCCCCACACTGGCGTTTTGTGGAGGAGACCCTGGAATCCAAGGGAGACGTCAGCCGAGCCACGGGCACAGGGGCCGAACTTCACCCGCAGAATGCAAGCACCCAGAAGGCGGGCACTCCGCCCGAAAGGCAGGGTTCACCGCTGTGTTCCCAGATATCGGACATGCAGTTGGTGCTCAGTAAATGTTTGTGGGGTGAATAAATAAATGACGGAGGATTTACTAAGAGCACGCCTGCGCTCGGCCTTCCGTGCAGAGATGAGGAAGCTCCTGGCTCTGTCCGTGTGTGTGAGCACGTGTGTGAGCACGTGTGTGTGTGCATGCATTTGCCTCTGTGTGCACCTGTGCATCTGCGTATGTGCACATCTGTGCTGTGTCAGCGTGCATGCACATGCATGCATCTGTGTCTTTGCATTTGCATGTCTGTGTATCTGTATACATGTGTCTGTGTATCTGTGTATGTGCATTTGTCTGTGTGTGCATGCGTTTGTATGTGTTTGTGTGTCCATGTATTTCAATGTCTGTGTATGTGTTCATGTGTTTGTGTGTCTGTGTGTGCATGTGTCTGTGTCTGTGCATGTGTCTGTATCTGTGTACATGTGTCCGTGTGCTGTGTGCATGTGTCTCTGTGTGTTCATGTGTCCATGTATGTGCATGTCTGTGTGTCTCTGTGCATGCGTGTGCATGTCTGTGTGTCTATGTCTGTATCTGTGTGCATGTATCTGTGTGTGTTCATGTGTCCCTGTGTGTACATGTGTCTGTGTATGTTTCTGTGTTCATGTGTGTGTATGTCTGTATGTTCATATAAGTGCATGTCTCTGTGTGTTCATATCTCTGTGTGTCCATGTATGCATGTGTCTGTATGTATACCTGTGTGTGCACATCTGTTTGTGTACATGTGTCTGTGTGTTCATGTATGTGCATGTCTGTTCATGTGTGTGCATGTCTGTGTTCATATTTCTGTGTGTTCATATGTACATGTGTCTGTGTGCATGTGTGTGTGTAACTGTATGTGTTTGTCTGTGTGCATGTGTCTGTGTGTGCACATGTGTGTAGGGGGACCTGCGGGGTTCTGGCTCCGAGCTAAGTACTGTCTTATTCAAATATGCGTCTCTTGGCATCAGGCATGACCGCCTATCCAGCTTGGAGGTTTTCTGCCCCTTGGCAGAGGCTGGGCGAACTGAACGCCCGTTTCTCCTTTCTTTGTTGAGCTGTTCTTTTCTTCCTCAGGACGTTTATCTCAGGAAATCCAGAAGACCAGAAGCAGGCAGGACCCGACACTGGGCCATGGCAGCTGTCTGCAGGGCGTGTTCCGGATACATCGCCCGTTCCAAGACGGGGCTGGGACCTGCCTTCACTCACCACTCCAGAGACGCTTGTGATGCAGCAAGCTTGATAAACCCTGGTCTGTTTCTGATCAATAGCCATTCCCATGCCCCTCCTTAAAATGCCGTATTTTTCTGTTTATCAAATGCAGGTTGTAAAATGTTTCCCGACATTACAAGGATAGCTACTGGAATAGCAATGCAGCTCGCTGGTGCACGCGCAGTGCCACGGTTTCGCAGGCACGCGCCTTCTGTGGCTATCTCCTGGTTAATACGGACAGCAGCACGCTGAGGTGTCATGCAAGCTGGCGTGATCTATTTTCCTTTTGGGGAAATTGAGGCACCCAGCGGGCAGTGGCTTCTCAAGGTCACGTCAATGGCAGAGCGTGGCTCTGGGATTCAAGCCCAGACAACTGGGCTCCAGAATCGACTATATTAGCCACGGTCGCTCGAGAGAAAACATCAAGCACTTTTCGTTAGATGTTTAATGAAAGGGATGTTAAAGTGGTTTTGTAGGAGGAAACATTTTATTCACGTAAATACGTTTTACTGCATTCTAAAATCTAGCAGGAAAAGATGTGGCCTAACTACTGTCAAGATTTGGGTAAATTTCATTGGAAATACAAGTACATTGGACATGGGAAAATACTGGGGCAGAGAATGCATCCGATAGTCTGACAAACTAGCATTTGCTTGATTTTTAGAACATACGGGAGGCCAGGTGCCATGGCCTCCCCCCGGTTATTCCAGCAATTTCAGAGGCTGAGGCCAGTGGATTACTTAAGCCCAGGAGTTCAAGACTAGCCTGGCAACATGGCAAAACCTCATCTCTACCAAAAAAAGTAATAATAATAAAATAAATACAAAAAACTAGCCAGGCGTGGTGGTATGCACCTGTAGTTCCAGCTACATGGCAGGGTGAGGTGGGAGGATTGTCTGGGCCTGGGGAGGTCCAGGCTGCAGTGAGCTGAGATCGCACCACTGCACTCCAGCCGGGGTGACAGACGGAGACCCTGTCCCAACAAACAAACAAACCAGAAAAAAATATATAGATAGTGAATGCTCCGTGAGTTGTAACATGGGAGGCAGTCCCCGGGCTGTGGAGATGAACTCCCGTCGGAGAGGGCGCATGGGAGGGCACAGCCATGGCATTTAAAGTGAGCCCAGTGAGGGGAAATGCTGGTTTTTCCCCACCCGTGAGGTTAAGCCCTTGGGAGGTTTAACCTGGACTATTTTGCACAGATCTGAACGGCATTCACCCCAACTTGGACCTGGCCCTTTCCTGGAACCACAGATTGGAACTCAAGTCACTGAAGTGCTTTCTGGCCTCCTCACGGAGAGAAAGGCATGTTCTCACTCAAACATCACCCCGGGAACACGGCATGCCGTGTTTTAGCACCTAAGTGTCCCTCGAGCAGATGGGGTTATGCTGTGATCACAAGCAACCCCCAAACCTCAACGGCACAAATGACACAGTGATTTCTCACGGGATTACACATCCACTGGGGTCACCGGGGAGTTCTGTTGACCAGAGTCACTCAGAGCCCCCGACAAGAGTGCTGTGGTGTCCAGCCGGGAGGAGCACTCGGGGGCCTCACGCTGTAAACGCCCCACTCCAAACTGACCCCTGCTGTGTCCAGCGTCACCAACTGGACAGAGACTGTCACGTGGGCCCTGTGTGAACAGTGGGCTGGGAAGGGAGATCCTGCCCTGTGCTCAGAAGACGGGTGGGCCGGGTCTTTTGGAGAATCGAGCTCTCTCCACCAGCACAGCAGCCTTCCAGCAAATCGGGATTTTATTCCAAACTCGCCCCACACCCCCAAATGCCAGGCTCCCCAGAGTAGCAATGTATGGTGCATGTTAAATCAGACTCCAGTGCAACCATTTCACAGAAGATGGGACGAAAGCAAAACGTGACTGGGTGCTGCGCATTTTGGTTTTGACAAGGGTGGATCTGGGCCTCAGCTCCCCCTCCCGGGCCGAGATCCTCTGGGCATGGAGGGCAGAAAAGAGGGTGGGGCCTCCCCCAGGAGACCTGCGTGCAGGCCGAGGTTTCAAGGGCCAAGTCCTCGCTGAGAGTGACCTCCACAGACATCCACTGACAGCTCCACTTCAGGCCCAGGAGACAAAGTGAGGGGAACTGACACCCCGGATTCTCCTTAAATAACTGAATCATTATTTGAACACTGGTCTGTTGGACTTTAAGGTCTGTGATTTTTCCACTGCACATACTGACTCCTGGGGACAGAGAGTTTCTTAGATTGAACCTACTAACACACCGATCCCTTCCCCTTCCCCACCCCCTCCCTCCCCTCCCCCCCTTCCCTTCCCCCTCCTCTCCTGCATTTCTGTATTTTTTTAAAAAGTTATTTTAAATTCACAAATCATTGTCTATGTTATATGAGTTACAATGTGATGTTGATATATGTTTAAAATGTCGAATGATTAAATCAGGCAAATTTATTTTTTTCCTAAGAGTACCTTGGCTTCAGAATTAACTTTAATTTTCATTCCACTTTGCTTATAATACTTTGGCAAGATCAGTCCTTTGCAGCAAGGCCAGGATTTAAGCTCTGACCCATCAACAAGGAGGGCATGGGTATGCGCCTGCTTTTCCAAGCCGTCTTCCTGCCTTGGGCTCTGGCGGCAGATCAGACTGTTGGTGGCTTTAAAGAGAGAGCAGAGATGTTGGTGGCCATTGATTCATTATCCCTGGTGCCACCCTCACACGCCACTGTGCGACAGCTGGCTCGGCCCACAGCCCGTTAACTCTGCAGCTGGGCACAGCGGGCCTCCGGCGGGTGGTGTGGGTTTGCAGTGTGCTGGAGATGAAGGGACACGGGGGACTGAAACCCAGCGGCCCAGGCGCCACCCGCCTCCTCCAGGTAAAGAGGTGAGTCCAACAGGTGAAGGGGCGTGAGAAGTGGTGCCAGGGCAAGAATGTGTGTGTGTTTGTGTGTGTATATGCATGTATGCGTGCTTGTGTGTGTATATGCATGTGTGTGCGTGTGTGTGTATATATGCATGCATGTGTGCTTGTGTGTGTATATGCATGTGTGTATATGCATGCATGTGTGCTTGTGTGTATA